AAATGCTCTCCCAAAAGTTTCATATTAAAGCATTGAGCAAAAAGCATTTGGAGAGCATTAGCATCTTATAAATGCTCTTCTAATAAATGTTGATTAGATGATAAAAAAACATAATGTTTATGTTAATGCTCTGCCAATCAACCTCTTATAGAGTTGCTATATATGTTACCCAAAGTTCAAAAAGAAAACAACATTTTCCTTCTTAAAATGTACTTTTTCTTTTCATTAAGAATTAATGAAATAAATATGATTTGATGCTAGTAACTAAATAACTAAGAATATACATGTATGTGTTCCTAAGAGCAAGGGAAAATACCTGCCATATTCGCCATACATCAGACAACAAGTTTTTCTGATGTTCTGGATGAGAAAAATAACTCATTAAGGATTTGTTAACTAACCAAATGTGTCAACAAAACATTGAGAAAGTGTAAGCTAACCTGAGTCGACAGCATTAATCTCCCTCATTGTGGCATCAGCTGACAGCTGACATTAGTGGTTTGATAAAGAACTGGGAAAATCTGGTTAAGCAAGAACATCAAAGAATTCAACCACTATCAAAAAACAGGTAAGACAAAGTTAGCAAAAAACAAAAGAAGAAAAGTGATTCTACCTGTCCAAAGCCTCATAGAAACTGTCTGCGTTCACATCAAAATGGTAGTTTGTTCTTACACTGGCTGTGTAAGCATTTGCTCTTCCTCCATGCCTCATCAAATAAAAAAAACATTCATTTGTTTTATTATATTGCATTGAAGAGTATATGCAAAACTATATTACCTCAGTGACATACTTCAAGAAACTATGTTCCTCAGGGAACTTTTCACTTGCATAAAATAGCATATGCTCTGCACAATCAAGAAAAGGTTTCATAGTCAGGTCAATGATTTGGTCATTAATGGAAGATATCTAGGAAAGTACCAAGGAAATGAGCTAGTCCGTCCATGCCTTTCCGGGTCCGAGAACGAACCTACACCAACGTTCATCGAAGCAGCACACTGAGAGAGATAAGAGGTAGAACAATCTTTAGATGTTTGCATAACTCAAAAGTCAACCTATAAGAAACTCCACCTTGTCGGTTTCTGGATCGCTGATTAACAACACAACGAGCGAGTTCTTGAGGACAACTCTCCGATACTCTCGCTTGTCTGTTCTTGGCTTCACTATCTCTCCACCTTTATCCGCTGCAGCGTTCTGTTTTCCAACCGCCATCGCCGTTGGACTTCTTCGGGAAGTGGGTCAACGCTCTGTAGTCAAAATTTTTCTCTTTCTTTTGCTTCAAGTTTCATACTTATAAGACTCAGAGAAGATCCGAGTATCTAACAAATTATATATATATATATATCGCTTGGCGTGCTTCTTGCTTTATAAGGTAAGTCAAATTAGAAAGGCACTAATCATGAAGTATGAACAATAATATTTCTAGATTTGTTTAAAAATTATAGAAATGTGATTCCACGATTCATCCATAATCAAATATATCTTATAACTCTGTTTCTGAAAATAAAACTCTGTTTTTGTAGATGAAACTCTGTTTTTTTAACAATCTGATAAATACAAATTAATTTTTTTGTGTATATCTTGCTCAAAAAGTTTATAATAAAAAGATTCATCCATAATCAAAAAAATATCTTAAAACTCTGTTTCTTAAGAAAACTCTGTTTTGAATGTTAAAACTCTGGTTTTTACCTTTTTAACAATAAGATGAATAGAAATGAGTGTTTGTGTATATCCTTTAGTTAGGTACTTCCTCATAGTTTCAGATGGCTTCATCCTCTCAACGACAATGTCTTCCATTTCTATGAATAGACATCTTTGGCTTTGTCATACTCCATTTCCTTCAAATGCTGGCTCCCATAAACCTTTATGTACTCGGCAAAGAACTCTATCAGTTCCTCTTTCTTTAGCTCTATCAGTGCGGCCACCTAATCACAAAACATCACACCCCAAGAAGCTTTGTTGATGGCTTGAAGTATTCACAATATTTGCATTATAAAAGTCAGAGGCTCTTCAATCTGCGTCTATGCGGTTGAATTTTAGTGTCGCGTTTTGAATCTCTCCTCTATAAAACCTAGATTCCTCTGACAAGTTCTTGTGTTTGTCAAGCTTCATGTCTGTCAAAGCCGAAGAAAACAATACCATTAATCTCCCTCATTGTGGCATCAGCTGACATTCGTGGTTTAATAAAGAACCGAGAAAATCTGGTTAAGCAAGAACATAACAGCATACAACACTATCAAAACACAGGTAAGAAAAGTTAGCAACAAACAAAAGAATTATCTAACCAATGGTTTAATTTTCAAAAAGATAAAAAAACTTATAGCAAAATATACATAATCATAAATCTATATGAATATGAAGTTTAGTTTAATGTATATTCATATCAAAAATATATATTTTAGTATTGTTTAAATTAAAATATATGCCACATCAAAAATATATTTGAACTTCAAATTTTAAAGACGTCTCTATAATATTATTTGAAAAGTCAATTTTCTATGTGTCGTGCTAACGTTAACTCTCACGATGGTTGATAACATAGATATTCTTAGGGGTGGGTGTTCGGGTACCCATTCGGGTTCGGGTCGGGTACTTCGGGTTTTTGGGTATTTCGGTATTGGGGTTTAGGACCCGCTCGGATATTTTTACATATCGGATCGGATTCGGATATTTTTAGTTCGGGTTTGGTTATTTCGAGTTGGGTTCGGATATTTAGATGTTGAAAGAAAAATGTCAAATTTTTCATTACTTAAGTTTCATGTATTTAAAATTTAACTATTAACTTAACTGTTTTTAAATGTTTAATAAGTTAGACGATTAATAAGTTTGAAAATAAATTATTGAAAATAAAAATCATTATTTCCGTTGTTATTTCGAAGTTTGGATGCAAATTTTGTTAAAATGTGAAATAAGAAGCTTAATATGTATTTTAAATGAGTAATAAATCAATTTATTTTACAATTATATGTGTATTATCTGATCATAAACTATATATAACATTAATATAAATATTTTTAATAAAATAAGACAAATAAACTAGGAATAAATAGGTATATATATACATATTTCGGTTATCTTCGGATACCCGGTCGGGTTCGGGTAATACCCGTTCGGGTTCAGATATCCAAACTCTCCTAACTCAATACCCTTTTGGATATTTTGCTACTTCAGTTCGGATTTTGGTTCAGATATTTCGGATCGGGTTCGGGTACGAGTTCTGGTATCGGGTAAAGTTCCCACCCTTACTCTTAATGAACTAGAAATATTATGTAAGATTGATTAATAATGTATTTCCTTTTTTCATAATAAAATTTTACTTAACTTTTTAATTTAAGTTTAATTTTTGAAACATAAATAAAAAAGAATATATTTATGAAATAGAAATCTTTATATATAAACGAAATTCAATAATTGTTTCTAAATTTTCCTAAAATAGCATATTTAGTGTTTATTTAAGAGATATTAAAATGGAAACTAAAAATATTTTTATACAAAAATAAATATTTTGATCAAATAATTTCAAAATCTTTTTAATTAGCGTAGCACTATACACTATTAATGAAGTAGAAATATTACATTTTATCATTATTTTAAATTGTTTTTAATATTTTGTTTGCTTTTTTTTGTTTTATGTTTGTGAAACTTAATATATAAATAATCAAAATACTCAAGTAAATCTAAGTTCTCATTTTAAGATTGTTTAAAATACTTTCATGTATACCTTTTAAGAAATCTAAGGCGTAAAATAATTTTGAATTTAGAAATGTTTAATTATCGTAAATATTAATATGCACTCATGTAGTTTCAAAAGTTTATCTTTATACTCATATTTATGTATGTAAATTTCTAATTGTCACTTTATTTTGTAATATTTCTTACAAAATCAACATATATCCAATTATTAAAATATTATTATAAAAATACTTGCATTAAGCGATTAATAAAATTCATTTGATTTGATTTAATTAGAATAAAGTAGTTATATTTTCATTTGAGTTAGAAAAATATATATAACTCAATATACTCACAAAACGAGTAACGAAAATAATCCAATTTATATCCAAAATAAAACATCTAATTACAACAAGAACATATAATTTTAGAATAATTATTAATTTATTATTATACATATATATTACAGGATGACTCAAAAATATCAATATAGAAAAATAAATGATTAACCAACACTTATAATTCAGTTTTTTTGTAAAATTTATATATATGAATGAGACTTCAGAATATTATCATTATATTAATTTATGTAATTTTAAGTCCAAATTTCAGTTTCTTTTTTTTAAATTTCATTATAAGCATAATATATATTAAGTTATACATAATCTTACTAAAATATATTTACATATATAAGACGATAACCAATCTAAATATAAAAATAGTCAAAGTTATAGTATATTTAGAAGAAAAATATTATAGTTGAATTCAAAAAAATAGATGCAATCCAAAATATACAAGTGTAACCAAATTAACTATTGATAAAAACCAATCAAATCGATTAAATACAACATCTCCCAAATCGCACGTCTAATTAAAATAATATAATATTATTAATATAAGTTATACATATAAATTATAAATTAATTTATAATAACAAATATCTATCTAAATTAATAAATTAGAATATATTACAATATATTTATTTATAAATATTCATAACCGTGCTCATGCACGGAAAAATCACTTAGTATACCATATTTGATCTGATACAAATTAAATTGTTGTACAATAACTCGAGCCCTAAAGATAAAAATAAAACTCAAAACCCGAATAGTTGTATGAGGAACGGATCCGAAATTGATTGATCTGGTTGGTTCAATAACAAACTCTAAACCGTAGACTACCAATTCAATATACACCCTACCACAGACGATAACTAACTACCGTAACAGAATCATCCCGCTCAATATCACACTTGGTCTTCTTCTTCCTCTCCACTCTCGATTTCTGATCAAATCTTCACTCTTCGAAGAAAGAAAGCGAAGAAAGCTATGAAGATGCTCACTTTTGATCTCGTCCTCCTCGTTGTCTCTGTAGCCGTGACAATCTCCGCCGCCACGAAGATCGGAGTAACTTACTCAACTCCCGACGTCCAAGAAGTGTCTCCAGAAAGAATCGTAGCCAAGGTAGTTTCTATGGAGATTGAGGCGGTGAGGCTTCTCGATCCGGATCCGGAGATGATTCGCGCCTTCGCGTCCACCAAGGTATCTCTCTTCCTCTCTGTTCCAAATCCACTGGTCCCGATGTTGGCTTCGGATCGTCATCAGGCGTTCGACTGGGTGAAACTCCATGTTCTTCCGTTCCATAACCGCACCAAGATCTCAATGATATCCGTCGGAAACGACTTGATTTCGCCGGAAGCTCCGCCGCCGATGTTTCTTCTCCAAGCCATGCAGAACCTTCGTAAATCTCTTCTTCAACTCCGAATCAACGATATTCCCGTTTCCACTACCTTTTCTTTCTTCAGTCTCATTGCATCACCCTTCCCTCCTTCATTGGCTCAGTTCAAAAACCCTAACCGATTCTTGGAGAAGACAAACTCATCTTTCTTGGTTAATCTCTTCCTTACTACGTACACGAATCCAACTTCTCGATTCCCACTGGATTTGCTCTGTTTGAATCTCCTTTCAGTTACATGGATGATACGTCCACCATCCATGTTCGTTACACTAACCTCTTTGATGTGATGGTGGACGCGGTGGTGAAGTCTCTGGCGGTCATGGGCCACGAGAGTCTCCCGGTGGTTGTGGCTGAGACTGGTTGGCCCACCTGGTCCTCTAATTCTAGTGAAGTAGATGCTACACTAAGATGCAGTGAGAAGTTCTTAGATTCACTTGTTGCCCATTTGAGAGCTGGTCATGGAACTCCTCTCAGGAAAGAAGGCGTTTCTGAGGTCTATATCTTTGAACTCTGCGACAGTGGATCCAAGCAACAAAGCAAGAGGACATGGGGTCTTCTCGACAACCATCTCAAAACCAAAATGAACATCACCTTCTTCGTGGATATACCTGAGATGGAGAAGAAGTTTATACGTACTTACTTGGTTATCGTTTTCTCCCTCTTTGCTGGAGTCATTGGCACGGTTTGCGTTTTGACCTGTCTCACTAATATACTTAGGTAAGTGTGACTATTACAATCTTTATTCTTCTTATTGTTTTATTAGATTCCTTATATGATTCCTTATTTGGTTTTGTACAGCACGGAGAGGCCACCTAAGCCCGTGGTAGGACGAGACAAATGGTTGTGATTTGTGCATGGAACCTGTGTACGCGGCGGATTGATATGATGTACTAAAACCTTGATATATGTTCCCAAATCCCAATCTAGCAAACAGCATTTATAGTGCGTTTCTAAAACCATTTTTTTTTCTTTGTTTGTTCTACATAACACACCTTTTTTTTTCATTTTACCACGTTATAGTGGGCGTTTTGTAACCATAACATCGTTACTTTTTCACATATTATAATAGTTACTCTTGATAAGGTACGTGTGTGTATTTTATGTTGCGCTATGATAAACAAAAAAAAAAAAAACTTTTGTAATGGCAGGTTGAAGTTTATATACTGATAATATTTTGTTCATAATGGCAGATTTTTCTACGATTTAAAGAGAAGAAAGTGATTTTTAAAACGATTTAAATAAAAGCAGAGAGGATAAAACATATACATGTTCTTTGTGTGATGATGATGTTCGTAAGAACAAAGCATCATTCAAATTAGAGCCAAGTTTCATCTATACGAAAATGAGGTTCAGTAAGAGTTATGTATTGCTAATCTAATTGTAGATAACCCTCAGTGTAGTTTTATTTTAATTTCGTATTAATATATTGTTTCAATTATAATAAGTTAGATGTTGGGTTAGTTTAAGTTGTCCGGTTTGATTATCAAAATAGCGTGTAATATAATTATATTGTAACAAAAATGTCCATAAATTAAGTAGCTAACTAACAAATTTGAAAGAGTTCAAAACAAAAATGACAACTTAAAATAGTAGATAAATTTAGGATCCTAAATTAATAGATTAGATTTAGAAAAGACAATGAATAAAATGATTAAAATTAATTAAAATAGTATAAAACTTTATAAAAAATCATTTAAAAATAGGTAAGTATTGTTTTGTATATTTGTTTTAATAGAATAGATGCAACATCAGAGTCCTCCGAACCACCAACGATTAACTGCAGACGTGAGGATAGAGAAGTAATGTCCCCATTCACCAAACTGATCTCCCAATGCACCAAGCGTTGCAAGTGGCAAGAAACCGTTGATGAGAGGAAGAACCAACAGAATCACTACAAGTAGTGAACTTACCCGTTCCCAATACGGAACCATAGTGCGTGTTTCGGACTCTTGAGTCACATTTAGTGGACCGTACAATAGACCAAACACAGCCAAAGTGATGGTATCTGCAACGTATCGAAAAAGGCAAAGCATTGCCCAAAGAAAGAGCCAGAGTTTGCCAATACCGTCCAATGTGTCCCCCAAGTACTTATTCCATAAACCGCAAAAGATACCTCCCAGGAAAAGAAGGCTATAAGTTGCTTGCATTCTATGCCTTGTACCTGATGAACGATAAAATATCAAATAGGTGAGAACGAGAATCACTAAGACAGCGAAATACATCTGCGACCAAAATGGATGCCGGCACATCAACATGTTTTCTTCCATGCATGTTGGTGAGAAGGCATTTGAGACATATAACATCCACGCCAGAGCGTTGATAACACTTGAGACGACCCAATTCATGGTTACTGTGGTCATCTCGGCTTCTAGTTCGGTTTCACATGCCATGTCGCCGGCGTCCAATCTCTCGGTTCTGAGTGCAGCTTCAGAAACGCCCATCTCTCGCTTGGATTTCTTGACAGAATCATTGGTCACTTTAAGGATCCTTAGGGTACTGTTAAATGATCTCTCTCCAAAGGAACCAATCCTAGTACCATAGACCTGTCATCATATCATTGTAACATTTAAGAATGCTGCACAAAAAAAAATAAAAAATAAATAGAGGTTTTTGTTTTGCTTGCTTACATTGGCTAAAGATTCTTTGACAGCAGAAGCATAAATCTGCAGCCAAACAACAACAAGAAAAATAAGATGAGAAACCAAGAATAAATAAAAAAAATCATAGTACTTACCAATGCAAGATCAGCCACATTTATATCCTTATGATCCGCAACATTCTTTTTCTCAACAACCTAAAGAAGAAAGCAAGAACAGAAACAATGCAAGTCAGTGAATTCAAATCATAAATCTTATGTTCAGGATCCTTATTAAAATACATATATCATTGATTGTTTCCCAAGAAAAAGCCAATTAGGTCAAAAATCATTGATATTTAAGACCAAGAGAACCAAACTTTTTAGCACAACTTTTAATACAAAAACGCCATAGAGAGAGGGGAATTGATTGAACCAGAGTGACAAAAGCCGCAAATGACATGCCTAGAGCTAAGGCTTCGGCTTTCCGTTCCCCAACGTTTCGTCGAGCCATCCCTAACCGCTTTCGCAGTCTATAAGCAACTCTCGGAACCCTTCCACTAGAATTTGAGGTTTCCTCCTTGTCCATTATCTTTTTCTTCCTCTCTCCTTCTTTAGCGCCAATTATTATTATTATTAATTTGATCAAATCTCTAGCGCCAATTATGAGTGTATATATTTAACAATATAGTATACCATATGTTTTTGTAGGGTTTTGTTAGTTTTGGGTAAATCTTTTTAATTTTATTTATTAAACACATCGCTTTAGTAAATCAATCTAGAAATTAAAGATATTATCCTACAAATATATCCTGGTGTAAATAAATATAAGAGTCGTGAATTTACCTACCACATATTAAAAGTAAGATAATTCTAAAACTATTCTTACTTTTAATATTCTTTTTTTCTTGTTATGAATAAATGATTGATTTTGTATTTGAGATATACATCGCTTAGAATTATCTGCAGTGCTATGAAATCTCCATATTTGTCTGATTATGAGTTCGCCTTTTATAAGCTCTATTGAAAATTTGTTTTGAATCCAATTTTTAATTAAAAAAAAAACCAAACTCTTTTATTATATAGCTTGTGTCATACATACATACATACATACATACATACATACATATAGAGAAATGCTGTTTATCATACTATTCTAAGGAATTAGGATGTTCTTTTGGGGTTTAATAAGTTAAACATCTATTTTATGTAAGTAGATTGTAGCAGAGTTAGTAAATGGGAAACGTACTATCTGCACTGTAGCTGAAAACAGTATTAACCTGCATATTCGACGCATCATCTTCAACATAAGAAAATGGTTGTATCTTGTCCTGAATCCTGATAATGAAACTTGGTCTCACGGATAGATGCGAGCTTCAATAACAACAAAAGTGAAAAGAAGCATCAAAATCTTTATATATATTGAATCAAGATGAATTATAGTAAGGGAAAGGGTGGAAAACAAGCAACAGTGCAACACTATTGGGGGTTCTTGCTCTTGGGTTCTTAAAACATATAATGTTACTCTTAGTATAACAGAGAAGTTAGTAACATCCCAAACCTCATCAAAAATCCTCTGGGAAGCACCAGACTGTTGTAAAAGCTGAATGTATGTGAATAACAACCCTGAAACTTCTGGCAAATGCTCTGTAAACCGATCAAGGAAATTACAAGAACATTTATAGAGACTCATTATCAAGAAAAAGACAAGCTGTAAGCGATTGATTCTGGTGAGCCCTTCCTCTTTTCACAACAACACTCAAAACATTAGTGCACCCACTTATTGCTCCAAATTTTGTTTAATAACCCATTATAGTCAAAAGTACTATCAACTTAAACATGTAGACCCATGTATAAGCCACAATTATCAGAAATAAAATCATATCAAACACATATAGAAGGTAACATGTACTCTCTGAACGTCAACCACACCTATACGTCCAATACCACTTGGTGAGCACAATATGGAAGAGAGACTGTTGGAGCTTGTAATAAAGCAAAACAAAAACTACAGAAACAACCCACCATGACCAGCATCAGTAAGGGCAATCCGAACTTTAAAAAAAGAATTCTCAATAGTCCAGTCTACTGCACAAGCAAACAGAAAAGGTAGTTTCACCTCTTTTCCGGGAACCCAAACATTGTAAATAGTCCCTTCCACCGCGAGTTGAACTCAAATGGCGGAAGTTACAGTCGCAACCCCTTTACCACTAGCCCAACTCGGCATTGGTTTGCATTGTATTGCCCAACCTGCAAGTATTATGAAGAGTTAAGCAAGACTGCTAAATGTAGAACTGCTACTAAACAAGTCCACATAAAAAGTATAAAATATTAACGAAACGAGCAATTGAGAAGTTGTTCGTCATGGAATAAGATCAGCAAAAGCGATCCAGCTCCCTAAGAACTTTGTGACTATAAGCAGCATCTAGCTTATCCTTAATAAAAAGATGATAGATATCAACTCGTAAAATAGATAATGCCTACAAAAAATAGTTTTCAACCAGTTCCCTGTAGGTATAATCTCATCAACCATTTTTATTCTGTGCAACAAAGAGAAAATACCCAAGGTTTTTAAGGCATAAAACAAACTTCCTTCTCCTTCATGACCAATTAAATGACTAAGGTACTTGCATGGTGCTTCTTCATAATGGTGGATGCTTGGAGTTACAGGCCAATAAATCCTCAGCATATTACTTTTTCTTCAAGTTTTTCATATTTATAAACACTCAGAGAAGATCCAAGTATATAATGAACTTTTTAGATATATATATATATATCGCTTGTCGTGCTTCTTGCTTTATTAGGTAAGTCAAATTAAAAAGTTACTAATCATGAAGTATGAACAATAATTTTCTAGTTTTATTTCAAGAATTATAGAAATATATCTTATAACTCTGTTTCTCACAATAAAACTCTGTTTTTGTTAGATGAAACTCTGTTTTTTAAACAATCTGATAAATAAAAATGAATGTTTTTGTCTATTCTTCTTTTCAAAAAATTTTATACGTAATAAAAAGTTTCATCCATAACCAAATTATCTTAAAACTCTGTTTCTGAATAAAACTCTGTTTTTGTGTATGATCAAACTCTGTAACAATAAGATGAATACAGACGAGTGTTTGTGTATATCCTTTAGTTAGGTACTTCCTCAAAGTTTCAGCTGGGTTCATCCTCTCAAAGACCTGTAAAGAGGTAGAGAATTTCTGAAACCAACAATATCTTCAATTTCTATGCATGGGGATACAACTTTGGCTTTGTCAGACTCCATTTCCTTCAGGTGCTGCCTTCCATAAACGCATATGCTCATCGATTTCTTTCTTGGTGCGTCAACTTTTATGTACTCGTCAAAGAAACCTATCAGTTCTTCTTTCTTTAGCTCTCTCAGTGCAGCCACCTAATCACAAAACATCACCCCCACCCCCCAAGAAGCTGTGTTAATGGCTTGAAAATATTCACAATATTTTGCATTATAGAAGTCAAAGGTTCTTCACAGCAAAATATATTTGAGGTTTGGCATTTTACCTCTGCTTCTATGCGGTTGAATTTGAGTGTCCCGTTCTGAATCTCTCCCCAGTAAAACCGAGATTCTTCTGACAAGTTCTTGTGTTTTTCAAGTTTCATATCTGTCAAAGCTGTTAGATTTCTCTGTGGAGGGCAGGGAATTCATGTCAGTTAGTATGTTTTCATGAAAATATGTGTATGTAATAATATTTGGTCACCTTGAATTCTTCATCGCTCATATTGTAAAATTTACTCTCAAGGTCCTTGAGTAGTGACTCGACCCTTGCATCAATATGTCCAGGACCCTATTACCAACAATAACCAATGCAATAGTTATGAAAAATCCCATGGCGCTAGGCAAGCTGGTTTGGTACCTTAGCTGAAGACTGGATAGTGAACTCTAGACCGTGGACGCCAGAATCATTCCTATGTTACAAATAAAGTGAACCTTTTATCTACGCATCAACAACAAGTCAGGGAGCACTCTTAACATGGGAGAAACTTATTTTGTACCTCCGAGAAAGTGAAGTGATGTAACCAAGTTGCTCGACCGTTCTGAGCTGGTGAAATGTGGCTTGCTTTGCAATGAGACAGAAAAGCTGAAGTTTCACGTTCATGGAAAATTCATCTTGATGAACCTGTTCGTTACCAAGAAAACCGATGCATGCAATAAAAAAAACTTTCTATAACTCACACTAACAAAGTACCAAGATCTACAAGAAAAAAGTAAAAACTTGTTGACACAAACTATACCTGAATATAATGTACCAGGGCAGAGTTTTCATCTTTGGGGTTTGAGCCTTCTCGATGGTAAAAGTATTTGGTTCTTGTTCCAAGCTCTGCAACCCTATCAGTCAGAAGCTGGGAAGGAAACAACGGTCGACAAATAGGTTTTGGGCAATTAAAAAGAACATCTTCAATATGCTTCACCATTGACACAGCTTCATCCTTCTCAACATTTCCTGAAGTGAGACATTTTAAAGATTATTAGAAAAGCGAAATGGTTAGAAACCAAACACTATAATGCAACGTGGATAGGATATAACGTGGATACCTGCTATATAGCACTCAACAAATGCCCTCGACAACATCATTGGAACAAAATTTGCTAAGTCTTCAGCTTCCATATGTGAAAGAGCATCTCGTTCCTCTGCCCAAGTCCAGGTTTGATCCTCTAATACCAGTGAGCAGCAGCTACTTGCTTGACTATATGGTTGTCTGAATTTGCAGTTTTGGTATGCCTTTGTGTCCATTTCCTATTAACAAACATGGATTCAATCTAGTGACAAGGAGGACGTTGTAACATGTCTGGAGTAACAAGGTTACCTTGATAACAGAAAACCTATCAGGTTTAACTTCAAACTTTACTATCTTTTCAATGACAGCCTCCAACAAGATCCTCATTTTGTGATTAAAGCCACCAAGATAGAGCTGTAAATTTGGAAACACTTAAGCCAAACATGAAATGCATTGAAACAAAAGACACAAGAAAACTTAACAAACCCCACCTCAAATCCATTGTCTGAAAGACTTAATCCATAGTAAAGACCAGCATCCTGAGCATAATAAGCTGAAACATAGAAGTATATATTGATTAAACAGTTTTCATGATATAATAAATCTTACCATGTTGATGATCAATATGGAGGCATTATAAATCTTACCATATTCATTCAAACAGTCCTCTAGCAACCAAACGAAGATACTGGAAAGAACTATAGCGTCAGGAGAACTGACTGCAAGGGGGCAGTTGAAATCCATCTTGACATATGCCTTTGGTCTGAAGAACTTTGTATCAGGCTTATACCAAAGTCTTGAGAATGATGTCTTTCTCAACATAACAGGAAAATTTTCCTGTTTCAAAAATTAGTTATGCAATCTGAGATGACTGCTTTACAAATTAAACTTCAAAAGACACTTTGTGAAGTGTAACTTGAGGGATGGTACTGAACCTTATCTTTTACATCTTTTAGTGACAAATCTGTAGGAATGAAGACATTAGGTATTGGTAGAAACAGGTTTACATCAGGGGCAGACTGTTCCCATTCCTGTAATTGTTGTCAAGCTGCTTAACTTAAGCACAAACCATAGGTGAACTTGCTTCCAGAAATTAAATATATCAAAAGCCAACCTGAATGGTGAATTTTGTTATCTTCTCAAGAGAATATGGAGTATTATACCATGGCTCAATCTTGTCAGTTTCTCCTTCAAATTTGTTTGACTCCCAAAAGATTCTACAAATATTATGCCATTAGATACTGCGAAACACTACGAGCTTACTAGCAGTCAAGATATCAACGCTTGAACTACATGTAAATTCAATGAACATAAACACTCTAGGGACTAGGGGATGCTTTAAATAAAGTACTAAAAATCTTAAGGAAATGTTGCCTAAACTAGAGATCATATGACTAGTTGCAGTAACATATCTAGCAACATATCTTCGGCTCTTCTCAGAATAAATAAAACAAAATACAAAATTTTATTTTCCTGGTGAGACCTATGAAATCTGCTTACAAATTAGAGCATCGTAGAAGGTAAAGCAAAAGAATACACCAGTTCATCAATGCTTGTGTAAGATGCATTTCAGGAACAGAACTCACCGGACATTACTGGGAGAAAGCTCATCTAGAACCTTTTGCACAATAGCTGGATTAAATTTCGAAGGCAGTGATGATCCAACCAACCAATGCTTGGTTGGGTATATCTGAAGTATAATTTCCAAGGCAACATAGAGATCAAGAAAATATAAATAAACATAGCGAAGCTTAAACAACAGAAAGGTACGAGAAGAAAATAGTGGTACCCGCATTTTTGATGAAATACCCGTTGCATAATAAATTGGGTGTGTTTTGGCTTGATAATGAAAACTTGTCTCAGAGATAGCTGCCATCTTTAATAATAATGAAAGATTAATCCAACTCTTTAATGACACTGAGTCAATAGGAATACTAGCAAGAATGAATAGCAAACAAAATAAAAAATAATACCAATATATTGGCTGTACCTCATCAAAAATCCACTGGGGAACACCAGAGTGTTGTAAAAGTTTTATGTGTCTGAACAATAACCCTATAATATCTTCCATGTGCTCTGTATACCATGCAAGAAACAAAACCAAATCATCTTTTTAACCTTATAAGATCTTCCTTAAAATATTAAAAAGGTAAAAAAGAAAGAATACGCAGAAACCCACCATGGCCAGCATCTGTAAGATTAATGGAAACATTGAAGAAAGAATAATCCATCGTGCCTACTTCACCAGCATACAGTCCCGTTGCCCATCCTGAGGAAGTACACAGATCAGGGCAGAAATTTTGTAGCTACCAACTACAACTGAAACAAGAAATAGATGCAGTATCTAAAGCATCTTTCTAACTAGCTTCGAGACAACGTAAGAAAGTTTCTATAGGATTAAAAGATATAGCAAGAAACACCCTTCAAAAGAAGTACAGCGTAAGCTAAAAATTTATTAATAGTTTGGCCCCAAAGAAAACCTACCCAAGATTTTTAAGGCATGAAACAAACTTCCTTCGCTTTCATGACCAATTAGATGACTAAGGTATCTGGATGGTGCTTCTTCATAATGATGGATAGTAGGAGTTATAGGCCATGAACCACTAAGCTCATGATACTGTCTTATGGGAACAACCTTCACAAGAACCTATAACCAATGAACCAAAAAAAAAAATCATTAACCAAAGATACCACCATGGAAACATTATAGCATGACCTTATCTTGGTCTTGTATAACTTCTAAAACTGAAATAAGCGAGAAAAAAAAAAGAACCTGTAAATGGTCTGGAGTACACGGTTGACCAGGAAATGTAGGGATGGCTTTATTGGTATTTCGAATTTCCTGGAACAACTCTTCCACTAGGCCATGAATTTTATCAAGGTTTTCTGAAGACATCCAGAGTTACACATTCTAAATGTGTTAATACTTTTGTTTCCCATAAAGTAATGAAAATTTTGGGTTACGTCTTAAACCTACCCTTGCCATAAACAACCAGATGCATGATGTTGGCAGAATAGTGCTCATCGTAGAATTTAAGTAGCTCACTCCTTGTATCCACTCCTTTTGCTTCAGGTCGTTTATAAAGAGTATCCATGTTACCTAAGCGAAAAAATACTTTCTTAGCAACAGAGAACAAAATTGAACCAGTGACTTTTCTTATGGATCACAGTACCACCAGATCTTGTTACATGAACAATCAAGATCATAGGGAAAAAATGAACCTGTGCTAAATTTATGATAAGGGTGTTCTTCTCTACTTAGATGCTTCTGTAACTGTGTGACATACAAAGGAAGACAAAACACTCAAGTTAGACGCTAGATATAGTGATATACACCAACATAATTCATTCCTATGTACTTTCCTTTTCACAGATAATCAATAAAATGTATTCTTAGTGTGCTAATATAATTGGATATAATTAACTTATATCATGTTTGCTCTTGAGATCAGAGAAAACGTACCTGACGCAGACGCCAAGAATCAGACAACAAGTTTTTCTGATTCTCTGGATAAGATAGAACTCGTTAGAAGTCTGCTACTTAACATACTGTAGCATGAAAGCTATCAAGAAAGTCAAGAAGCTAACCAGAGTCAACAGCCTTGATCTCCCTCATGGTAGCATCAGCCGACATCAGTGGTTTGATAAAGAACTGTGCGAACCTGTTAGGCATTAAACATAAGAAGCCAAGAAAACCAAATAAGATTGGTAAAGCAAAACAGAAAAATGTAAGTCCTACCTGTCCAAAGCCTCATCAAAAGAGTCTGTGTTGATATCGAAATGGTAGTTTGTGTCCTCACTGGATGTGTAAGCATTTGTGCTCCCTCCATGCTAAAACAAAGAGAGACAAAAAAAAACAGAGTTCTAATGAGCACATCATATTTTCTCTCAAGCATGTATTTAAGAGATGGAGAAGAACATTGTTACCTCTGTGATGTACTTGGAGTAACTATCTTCCTCTGGATATTTTTCACTTGCAAAAAACAGCATATGCTCTTGACACCCCAAAAAAATAAAAATAAATCATATATAACTTTACAGGACTATCAAATCCAACATTAATTAAAACTCAACACAGTTACTTTTTTCAAGGCTTTGTTTTCTTTTATAATGCACATCGTGTATTAACTATCTAAAGTGAGTGGACTAGTGATTGAATCTTTGCTATGAAGAAACGTACCAAGGAAGTGAGCTAGTCCATCTAATCCTTCTGGGTCCGAGAATGATCCAACGTTAACGTTCATGGAAGCAGCACACTTAGATCAACGTACACAGTCAATGAATCAGTTCAGCTTTCTTCTTTAAGCAGTAAAACAAGAACATGAATCGATCTTACCTTGTCAGTCTCTGGATCACTGATTAACAACACCTGAAGACAGTTCTTTAGAACAATCCTCCTATATTCTCTCTCGTCCGTACGTGACTTCACTATCTCACCACCTTTTTCCGCCGCTGGCTCCGTTACAACAGCCATGGCCGCTTGGTTGCTTACAGTAGTTGACTCTACGCTGAGTCTTGGCTCTTGTATGTCCAACGTCTTTCTTTTTCTATTTCTCTTAACTTTTATTAAGACGAGGAAGCTGAGAAGAAAGTGCTTAATCTACCAACTAATATCAACGGTGTGAATTTATATAGATCCAATGGCGATTACTCTGTGATAGTTAAGTCTTCGCTTCTATACGTCCAACGTCTTTTTCTTTTCTTTTCTTTTCTTTTTATCTAATCTAATCTAGTGTTAGAGTTTACGTCTGAACTTTTTATTTCCCTAAGTATAGAGATCCAACGGCGATAGCGCATTTGCCAAAACTCAGCCCACGTGGTAGATGATAATGCTATGCCACCGTCGATTTGCTGCAAAAGCTTATATAAATACACTTAAATGTAGTTTGTACATATTACCTAGAAAATATTTGGTTGTAGTTATTACGAAGTTTACATTTATGTATAAGCTATCCCTACATATTAAAGAAAAGCATTACAATATTCTAGCTAGCTATGACATGTATCGTCACTATAATGCTTTTCAAAACTTCTAGAAAAAAATATTAGTCAATATAAACATATAATAATATTTTATTAAATAACTATAAACTATTTTTATTCTTCATCTTTTCCTTAAATAAAAATTATGGAATTATCTAATATGATTCATATATATATATGACAAATATCATAAAAATAAATTAAACAGTCACAACAACTATATAATACAACATATTAGAATTTTTTCCTATATGATATATTTTAAATTTTTATAAATAACTATAAATTAGTTAAATATTTAAAATTCAACATTTTTCTTTTGCTTAATAATTTTTTTTGTTATAACAAGATACAAATGATTATACAATCAATAAGTATGACATATCATTTAGCAGATATTAAAAATTTATAATATATATATATATAATTTTTAGACATTTAAATTAAACTATATACCATCAAAAAATATATAAAGTTTTTAATTTTAAAATCGCATTGAACAAGTAATGAGAACTTAATACTTTAGTTTCTAACTTTGAATTGATTTATTATTTAAATGATTATGAATTACTATGAATAATAAACGTCTCATATTAAAAATTATGTTATCAATGGTTTAAAAAAATATTATCAATCGTTTAATTTTTTTTGTTATAAAAATATACAAATGATCATAAAGACATATAAGTATGAAGTTTCATTTAATATATATATATATATATACAACTTAAAAGTATACTATATATGTCTATGTTAATATCATTTATTTTCTAAAGTTACTTATATAAAATGACTGTAATTAAACAAGTGTAATTTTATTTATTTATGTGAGCACACTAATTTAATTATATACATAACATTTACTAATTTCAGTTATTTAATATATATATATTATAATATGTAAAAGAACAAAATATAAATAATAATACATAAAATAATTTGTATATACAATTCTCATTTCGCGCAAAACGCGGATCTTAACCTAGTATTTCTTATTTTATTATCTAATAAAATACTTATTATTATTTTTTTTTACAACAAACGGCTGATCTATTACTCAAAAGACTTGAGGTGGTCTAGGTAACCAGGCGGAATAGAACAACCAACGTACACAAGCTTACGATAAAAGGACCTAGCTATCTTAGCTAGAGAATCAGAAGCGCCGTTCTTTAATCTAGGAACATAAAAAATCTTGAATTTAGGAAAGCAAATCTTCAGTGTCAACAATTTTTCCAGTTCCGTTGAGAAGGTAGGCCATGCATGAGGATTCCAAAGCATCTCGATCAACTCCTTGCAATCAGTTCCAAAGCTCTAACATGGCGAATGTTGAAGCATGTTCTCCATTGCCCACCGCAGTGCTTCCAACTCTGAATGCAACGCCGATTCCACTCGATCAAAATTACGCAGCCCCATCAACTGACTATTTCCAGAGTTATCATTCAACACCCATCCACATCCACTGAAAAAGTCCGTATAAGTCCAAAATCTATCCACCATGCATATGTTACCCAGACTTAAGGCATGGTCTTCAACTGTTTCGTTCCCAAGGGAGAGTGGTATATCCTGCTCATTTGCTTGGAACCATGCTTGGTATTCACTTTATGCATATCGCGCTACCTCCAATGGATCCCTATCAATGCTTCTAAATAGCTTATCATTTCGAGCCTTCCAAATGTACCAGATTAGCCAAGGATAAGGATCCCTGTCCAATTCTGGTTCCATTAATGCATTCTTCCTCCAGAATAGATAGTCCATATTCGCGTATGTGCTTTGTACTGGAAACAAAGCGGAATTGGTAGGCGTAAATGATAGCGCCCAAACTTGTAATGCAGGTGAGCATTCAAATATTGCATGTGTGATTGTTTCCTCGGGTTCCCCACAATGATGGCAATGGTTATCACATCTCATATGTCTGTAGTTCAAGATGCTCGTAACAGTTACATGTCCTGTTATTATCTATCACATAAGATGGCAAATCTTCCGGGGAACCCTGACCTTCCAAGCATGTGTTTGGAGTTTTGACATTCTAAACATGTGCTTGGAGTTTTGACATTCCAAGCATTTGTTTGGAGTTTTGTAATACTAGGCTCACATATATTTTCTATTTTTATGTAAAAAAATTGCAAGCTAAATTATGCCTTTTGCATAAATTAACAAGCATACAAGACTGACGAACAAATGTGTAATGATAGAACAGTTTTTAATGATATGAGAACAACATAGAAGGGTCATTATTAACTTCACAGTAATCCTTTTTCAACTCTTCACAGTAACATTTTTTTATTTTGTCTTAAAGAAAATATGCAATATAAAAGCAGTATGCTGATCATCTTGATCACAATATCAATATGTAATGTTTGTGAAGTTGTGTGGTTAGACGAGAGCAACAAGAAATGTCCAAAACAACTCTTTCAACTTCTACTTTCTTAAAGACGACATTAGGCAATTCAACTCTATGCTAAAATATTTGTGGAACTAAGTCTCATGGTTTCATCAAAGAACTTGATTAAAAAAACGATCGCTTTTGGTGCCATGGCACTAGGCGAGGTCTAGCGAGGTCTGGCGATGTCCTCATCGCCTCAGCACCTCAAGGCGTGGCCACAAAGCAAGCGCTTTCTATGCTTTTTTACTAAACCTTAGGCTCCTAAAGCGACGCTTTATGGATTTTATGTCAAACCGAATTGGTTTGCCAAATTTAAACTGTTAAACCGAGTTAGATTTGTAACAATCATCTTTGGCGTCACATAAAAGATCTTTGCAAACCCTAAATGAATCTTATATACCATAACCTAAGTTTAAAGTTAGGGTTCCATGTGCTATTGTTCTTCTCTCTAAATTAATACTTACGTTTTTGCGCTATAGTTTTTCTCACTCACAAAGCGAGCGCTTTGTGTTAGCCATAGCGCAAGGCGAGACACTCATTGCCAAACCTCGGAATGCGCCATTTTAAACCAAGTCAAAGAAAAAGAATAATGTTATGTATCAAATCTTAACATGTTCCTGCTTTCATAAACCAGAAAACATAACCCGAACAAGCGAAAGCCAATCTCAAAGAATGTTCCAACAACACCAGCAAAAATGTTACAATCACACAAATATTTTAATCATGTTACTTACATGCTTTCTCTAAGCTATAGAAGTACCACGATGATCTTTATCAATATGCTTCAATAGATCCCCCGGTTCGCGAAATCCTTTGCTGCATTTCGGACAAACATCAACCGTAACTTTACCACCGTTCTGTTTCCCATTCCTCTCTAAATTACCATCGCCGCCACTCGAAAACTGTAACTTCTGGCTAATATCGTTACCGAGTTCTCTGATACTCGCTTCCGCCGAAGCTAAAAGACTAGACCATCTTGAAGATGATGATGTGGGAGCTTCTTTGGTGTTTGTTGAACTCAAGAAACCCATGAATGAGAAACTCGAATCAAGCTTCTTAGGTCCAGCACAACCATGGTCAAGTCCAAACCGATGTTTCAAGCAATGTTCGATGGTACAATCTCGACATTTTATAGTGTTGGAGAAAGTTAGCGACTCTCTGCATCTTGGAACAGGACATTTCTTCTTTTTGAAAGTTTTCTCGTAGTTTGATGGATCACAATCTGTGTTCACGTGTTTCTCCCAAGTGATGTTTGGATCTTCGTCAGGGTTTAACCGAACTCCTTTAGCACATAATGGACATATAACGACCGTTAAATCTCCTCTGTTTCCTTTCGGACAAGCGTGTTTCATATAGCTACGATGATCCAAACAAAACACCTGCAATAAAATAAAGAAAGAAAAAAAACAAGATTTCTTACATATATTGATGATCCACACATTAAACAAAATGTTAATGATCAAATTCTTTAAAAGTCACGATATCTGAAAAATCAAAATAAATATCGTAGAATTAAAAGGAGAAAGATATAGGAACCTGGATGCATCGATCGCATGTGAAGGGCAAGAAATCGATCTGTTTGCAATAATCAACGGAGCAGTGTTTCCCCAGATCTGGAAACTCCGGGGTCCCCATTGAAGCCGAAGATGAATTGAAAAAGCTAGGTTAAGAAATTAAAGAATAGAATCATCAAGAAAACCTCAGAGATTCCGAGGATTTAGATTTAACAGAAAACTCGCAGAAGAACCGGGGAAGAATGATTTGGAAAGGAATGTCAACGTGATTCCTCTATCTTCTTCATCTATTCAAAGTCAATCATCCATACCAAAATTAAAACTCAGAATGGGCTTTAAGGCTTCATAGCACTTTCATTATTGGGCTCTCAGCCTCTCACTAGACTTTTTTATAAGCTATGGGTTATTCTCTTCTTTTTAATATTTGATAAATGTAGTGACAAAGACTATGGCCTTTCCTTGAGATTCCAAGCTGGTTAAAAATGTTGGATGCACTCAACGATCCTAAATGGTTGAAGTACTCTAGTCTAGGTTCAGGTTTAAAATTTTCTACGCTCATCTTAGGGATTTGAAATCCAAACTACGCAATTTTTTGCCAATTATAGAATGTAAATTTATCGAAGGTTTCAGAGTACTAGAGCAAAAATCGTTCGTACTACGGAATGGACAATATCCATCAAAGATGTCGTCATGCCGAATGTTGCATATGCTATCATATTTAATAGAGTTAAGATTATACGATGATGTAATTGTTACTCAGTATTTAAAAAACAAAAAATCTTCAATGGTGGAGAGTAGTAAAGGAAGAATATATAATACTAATAGAGGGGTGATCTCATTGTCCAAAGTGTCATAGAAGGATGCCTTCTCAGTTTTACGTTGCAACATGCTAAACAGATTTTTGATAAAGGGAAAGCTTTTCCCTCTACAAGGTTATCTTATAGAACGGCTGCTCATGTTCATATCTAGATGGAAGGGTGATTGACTGTTATACCTTACGAAGTCACAACTATCAAGGGTTTTTTGTTTGGGATGACGTTGGACGTATTTGTTTATCTTGGGTTGTAATGGTTGTTTCCTTTTTGGTAAGGCTTTGGTAAGGCGTTGATGTTGTGTTTACCTCGCGCTGTTGTTTTGAACTATATATAGGTCTTGTTCTTTAATTGGGGGATGAACCTTTGGTGATTGAAATATAAAACATAAAATGACAAAAACGTGTATCCAGCCAGAGTCACTAGACTTTTAAGATGTTTATTAGTTTATATTCTCTTTTGTTAATTGTTGAGCAGTTTATGCTCTAATGATTCAATGATATTTTTCGGGTGGTGACATGTTTTTTTTTGGATAAATGTAGTGACATTTTTCTTTACTGAATAACATTATTGAGCTGACACATTGATATATAGAAAAATAAGAAGATGCAGAGATACGACAAGATGAACAAACCCCACCATCGATACCACCTGCCAAAACTTTAACAGTAAAAAAAAGCCAAGGCCACATAAATCTACATCAGTTACTAGTCAGTTCATCGATAAAATGAATCCAGAGATATATCTATATTTTTATGAACCTCGAGTTATATTTATATGTATTCATGATGGTCACATTTATTTTGTAAGTATAAATAATATTTTAATCTGAGTCATAGGGAGCTCGATAGAAAGACAAGAAGTAGACGAGAAGATTCATTGGGACAACAAAACAAATACCTCTTAGTTTTACCCATGTGAATGTGTTGTTTTTAACACAAACTAATTATAATATTTAATTTTTTATTATTATTAAATATTATTGATTACCATATATATATATATATCACATTTTAAGTGAATCAATTAATGTAAATATCCTTCAAATCCAATGTCTAATTATATAGGAAAGAAGAAACATACTCATAACTACAATTCAACCGTTGGACTTGGATGTAGAAAAGTTTTGGTTTTATTTTGAAAACTGTATCATTTGTTTTCTTATTATAAGTCGATATAATTGTTGTTTTAACCACACTCTTCTCTTTGGCTCCCACAAGCTCACCTGAAAGCCTCACTCTTCCTTTCCCTCTCTAAGCTCTTTCTCATGTTTGGAGTTACGGCAAGACTTGATGACCAACTCGGCACCACAGCCATACCAACCACCATATACATGGACCCACCTTCCCAAGACCAGCCGTGCCACAACTCAGACCACCGTTCAATAGAAACACTTGTCGTAGTCTTAGCTGTCATCACTATTTTATCCGTCTTAGCGGGCATCTTCGCTCGGCTTTGCGGCGGGCGCCATTTATCTAAAGACCACGACATCGAAGGTTGGGTGGAGGGGAAGTGCCGTAGCTGCATAGACGCTGGAGTCCTCACCGAGGCTGCCTCTCCTCCTCCACCGGCTCCAACAACGACAGAAACAATGGACGAGCAGAGCAAGCCAGCAGCCGCGGAAGATCAAAGCAAGAAGTGAAGTAAAAAAGGGAAAACTAAATTCATCGATTTAGCTCTTAACATTATGTAGTCTTCTCGTTAATTTTCGAAGACACCGTTAATTATGTACCTTACTTATTTATTCTACGGACACTGATTTCGGACTTTCCAGAGATGTTTTATGGTTTTTTTTTCAAAACACTTTTTTTTTTGAAACACAAGAGTTTATGATTATTATTTTCAAAAGAAATCTTAAAAGAACCAAAAGTTAGAGCAAACACATTAAGAGCACCCCATCAAAGGTTCAGATGGGGAGTTCACACGTTTTTTTTGAAAAAAAAATATTAAAATAAGGAATACTGATAAACCCGCCTCTTGCAGGTTTTTTGCGGTGAACCCGGTTCATCACTGTAGCGCAGACCCCAGGAACGTGGCGGTCCACGATTCGTCTATATTTTTTTTCTTTAAAATCAAAAAGAAAACAGAAAAATTTTAATAATAAAAAAATGATTCAATGAACCCCAAGAAGGGGTTCATTGATGTGGATGCTCTAAGACCTCAAGGAGGGGAGTTCAAGTTGTATTTTTTTTTATTATTTTTTTCGTTTATTTTAAAAAATAATAAAAGTAAAAATAAAGGAACCAATCGTAGACTGCCACGATTATCATAGAACCCACAAAACAGTGATGACACCGGATTATCCTAGATTATCCTAGAGAGCTCGCACGACGCAGATTCACCAAAAGTGTATTATTTTACTATTTTTTTGGGATCCGTGTGAATTTGGAGGTGATCCTCTGATGTACATGCCCTTAGAGCATATGCAATGGTGAGATTGTGAGATGAGTCCTTAGGATTAGAATATTAATTTTATTTTTCTTTTTACTTTTTAATAGTTAAGGATTGTATTCAAAATAGTGTGTGGAATGGTGTTTTCCGATTTGGAGTCCTAGAAATAAAAAAAAAAAATATTTTTTTTTTTTTAAAAAGTGAAATTTAAATGTTCCCTATTTTTTCTTTTTCCAATTTCTATAAGTTCAAGTTCAATACAATACCTAAAATTCTCTATAAGTTCAAATTTTCTATAAAAATGAAATTGATATTATTTACAAGTATATAATCTCACTTATGCTACCATCAAGTTTCGTTTGGTTTGGTCACACATGATCAAGAAGCAATATGTTCACCAAGTAATGAGAAGCATGATCAACTATTAATCATGATTCATAACCAGCTTCGGTTCCGGTGAGTAAAAGATAAAACTGATGAACAAGCAATAGTGAAAGCGTTACCGTATTACAACTTTGGTTCTTCCTCGATGAGTTCACAGAGAACCTGCTCTTAGCATCCGAATCTGTATCAGAGATTTCCTTCCTTTTGGATCTCTTTCCTTCAGATATGATTAGCCGTCCTTCAGCGTCAAACTCTGCTTCTTCATCTGAGTCAGCTTTTCTTTTTCCAAGCTCACTTGATCATCTTCATCCGCAAAATCAGCAAAATATCTTGGTATCATTCCACCGGCTGGCCCTGGAAGACAAAAAAAACAAGAACCTGGTATTATTTGAATACTCAGAAGCTCCTATGAGATTTATCTGTCAACTGAGTTGGGAAAGGTACTTTGATAAAGTTTCTTTTGAATGCTGAGATCTACTCATCTCAGAGCCAGCTGCATATTTTCTCTCTTTACGTTCCTTGACCTGAGATAAACCAAGAAAAGATGTATGGTATACTACCAATCAGAAGTATGGAAAAAATCCAACAAAACTCCAGTCACTGCAGCTGATTATGGTTTGTACCTCAACGTGTGTTTACCACTTACCTTATACCACTAATGGATTGTTTCTTTAGGGTCACAAGCTATTGTTAGTATTGTATGACAAAGGGAGCTCAAACCTGTAACCCTCTCATTAGTAGCTCAAGAGATTCTCATCATCATCCCCAAAGAATCTACCTCAAACACTGATAAACCAAATAGCAACACACATATTTTCTGATAATTACATAATCATCCTATACACTGTATCATCATCAATGAAGCGACTTCAACTCAAACACTGGTACACCATACACAAACTCAAGATAAACATATATTTTCTGAAAGTAGTATCTGAATCACTTAGCCACAAAGTTTAACCACCAAAAAATTAAAAAATAAAAATAAAGGAATGAAACAGAAACTGTCTTCTGCTGCTACACAAACTAACAAAGAAACAGAGAGATTAGTTAAAGTGATGATCTTAGATATTAAATTCTTAAGAAACTGAAAGAATATAAATTCCCCAAATTGAAAAAAAAAAACAGACTCACATCTGAGATCAACAATCCAATCACAATTCTCCAGTAAAAATCAGTCGAATTCACGATCTGAGGATTAACAAAAGAGCCCAGAAAGAAGCTGTAGCTAATGATAAACGGATCAATACTGACTGATTTGGCGTTGATGTTCTTGTTTCCAGCGGTGGCCATGATTGTTGATCTGAAGCTCGGGAAATCAAACATCAAACGTAGACTCCTTTGATTGTTGATCTGAAGCCCGGAATACAATCCAACAAGTAATGCTCTCTCTTCGCTTCTCTTTAGACGACGCCACGTCGAGACGGACTCGATCCGTAAAATCCCTACGTAAGGATTACTCCTTACCGTTCCTTCTTTTTTCTAATATTTTTCCAAACGTGTTGTCATATATTCACGAGCTAAGGATTGTACATGAATCCCCGTTGCATGTGGTCTTATTGTCAACTTTTATCTCCAAATCCGTTGAAAACTAGGCCAGTGACATTACATATAGAAATACATATAAATAATCCACCACATTACTGAAAGTTGTATATATATACATCCACCATGTTTAATAGTAAACAAAATATTACAAATAATATTATTCATTTATTCATGGACAAGCAATCAACATGATCAGTAAAGCATAAACAAGACAACAATAATCTCGACTATTGTATGTAAATTTCCATATATCTTTAATATTGTACATATATCAAGAATCAATACGTAGAGAGCGATATACATGAATCTATAATTATATATATAATTCGTATTTATGTATAATACATATATAATCAGCTGAGTAATTAAGGGCATTTAGGAGAAACGGTGCCTTTATCCTGAACATTGACATTTTCGCAAGAAGCTTTTCCTCCTTTGATGTTCACATTCTCGAGCACAATACCCTGGCATGGATATTTTTCACTGCAATTAAACATTATCGCCACATCCGTTGCGCTCGTGCCTTTTATGTTCCGATACACCACATTGTTCACTTGAACCGCAGATTCCTAGTCAACATATTTCACATTTCAAGTGGAGTGAGTGTATCTAAATGAACAAAACAAAACAAGCAAAAATATCCAAAAGAGCATATAAAGTTAATCGATCAAAAAATTACTTGTTGTTCGCATTTGTCCTTGTCGCAGTAGTTCTGGTCGATTATGATCGGATTCTTGACATTATCCATACGAATGTTTTGAAATTTAATATTCTTAGCAGTTCCTGACCCTCCCTGAAATCAGTAAGTGGATTGCTATTGACGGACCACTATTTTATTGATGTTACCATCACGATCGTATGAGTTTGAAAGTAAAGACGTAACTTCATATCTGGTATGAACTTCAAACCAAACTGCTCAATCCAAAAGAATTGTAAACGAGGGGTTGATTGTAGGAAAAATAAAAACAATATCAGTCACCTGGTAAGTCTTGATTCGTACTCCATTATCAGTCTCAGAGAGCGTAGCACCATCCACGTTAATTCCCGACACATAAGCTTTGGAATTGTCATCCCCCAAGCTCCCAATGCTTCAAAAAGAAAAACAAAGGTCTACATATGTATGTACTCTAATTATGTGTAAAAAATATAAGATAAAATGTATAATTTTTACTATTTGGAAAAGAAGGTATGGATTTACCTGATCCCGTGACCGGGGCCGCAAGTTAAGTCATTGATTTGAACGTTTTGTGATCCATCCTCAATGGATATACAATCATCACCTATAGAAAATGAACCATAAATATTATACCTTATATATACAGATCAAGAAAATTGAATAATATGTATGGATCACTTTACCTGTCCCAATGTCTGAATTGGAGATCTGAATGCTTTTAGTAGCAACGATATGAATACCATCTGTGTTGGGACTATCTCCAGGAGCAGTGATTTTAACATTCTTAACTTTAACATTGTTGCATTTCTCAATCGATATCTGAATCTGCTGCGCATTTCTCACGCTCAGATTCTTCACATTTAAATTCTTTAGGTTGTAGAGTGTAAGAGCCTGCAAAAAGAGAAAAATACACATGCCAACTTTTGTAATTAAACGATCACTTAATCAGTTTAGTGTGAATATTTTTAGTTATCTGCATATGTTTGGAGCTCTGTATGTACGTACCGTTGGCGCGTTTGTGCATGGCTGCATTGAAAAGAAGGAGGCCACTTAATATTAGCATGATGAGATTTAGTTATGAGTATAGATATCATAAATAAGTATATTTATAATTATTTGTGTGTCACTCAGTGCTTGGTGGACTATGCATACCTTAGATTTGTCGATTTTGCATGAGTTTTGCCACCAGATTTTTCCGTTGCCATCAACAATCCCCGCCGAGCCACCATCGATTGATAGACTATTAACGTCCTCCACAATAAGCCAATGGTTTTTGTCATTACTGTAATCCGATCGTTTTGTAGATGCTGATAAAGTGCCTAAAATCTGCAGTCAATCGTTAAAACTTTCAACGAGGGGATTAAATATATGAATTAAGGTACTACTAATGATAGAAGTTACAAAAGTAAATTAAAACATGTCACCTGGAAGCTACGTAAAGATTTGCATGGGCCTCTGAATCGAGTGGACTTAAGGAGATAAGTCTTCCCTTTAGGAATCAAGAAAGTCTTAATTCCATTTGTAGAACATGCCTTCTTCCATGCTTTATTGAAAGCCTAATTATAAACATATATTAACTTTACAACCCATGCATGCATGCATCATCAATATATACCAAACAAAATATCTTTATATATAAAAATATATCTTTATATATTTATACAGGTAACTATCTTTTTATAGAATAATTTTATATTCATAATCGTAAACATCATATACCTGAGTATCATCGGTTTTTCCATCTCCTTTGGCTCCGAAGTTCGAAACACTAACAGTTGATGATTCAGAAGTGGGTGTATCGGAGCTTTTCAAGGTAAGAACGTCCTCCTCGTCGTTGTTGAGCTTAATTAAACTATCCGATTCAAAGCTTCCATCTTCATGACCATATCCATCATCTACGTTACTACTCAAAGCTTCGCACCACGAGATCATGAAAAGAACGCATAAGAAAATAGCAAGAATTCCGCAACGACGGGTCATTTCGAGGATCAAAACAGTATTCAAAGAGTCTGTGTTTGATTCTTGTGGGTAAGATGAGACTCTTTGCTGTTTTGGGAGATGCTTTTGTAAAATGAAAATGAAGAGGTGGGAGGTATGTGTATATATAGGCTATTTAATGGATAAAAGTTAGGCTTATTCAAGTTTTAATGGCGTTGGAGGTATGGAGAGAGAGGTTGAGATTGATACGGAAACATCACCGTAAAGCTACTAACATTTACCTCTTCTCCCTCAATTTAATTTATCTTTTCTTATAATGACTTTAATACTTTCTTGATTGATAGGGAATTTTACACTTTATTCAGTTATATATATTCTACCGAGAGTTTATTTTCATCATCTTATACCATTCACAGTAATATTTCATCATGTGTAATTACTAAGCTAAGCAGAACGTGATGTATCTACCCATACGTAAATTTAAAAGTTGAAAACATATAAGCAAAAGTGACAAACGTCGTCACCGTCGTCTCCGTCTTTCAAAGTTCGGTAGTAGTTTTGGATCCCTTTTTCTCTTTTCGTGCCTTTTAATTTTTGTGTGTGAGGCTGATATTTACCGTACGTTGTAGTATCGTTTAGGAAAAGTTTCAGAAGAAACAAACATCATCATCTTTCTTTGTTTGGCGTGTATTTCAATCAAACAAGAGAAATTAAAGCATCAGTTTATGAGCTAATGATATTTTTAGCTAGTAAATCCTAGTATATATTAGCTAATAAATCATAGTCTTAAGCATAAGAAATTAGGGTTTATCTGCTCTATTTAATATATATATATATACATATATATATATATATATAATAGATGCAAAGCTAGAAAACTATTGAAAGATGAATATTTAGAAAAAAGCATATAACAAAACAAATAAGCAAAAACATCATACACATAGATTTTTCATCTTACTGCTTTGATCTAGAAATACAAAGGTGACCTGCAATTAAACCGAGACTGAGTTAGAGTAGCTTTGATGGAGTATAATGTAATTTATGTTTTTTTTTAAAAATAGTTTCAAAAAGATATATATTTCACATTTTAAATTATAATTTCAAAGATATTAATTGTGTTTACTAAATTTTAGTTGATTAAATATTATGAAAAATAATATATTTATTTTTAAATATGTGTGAATATTCTAAAAAATGCATTATTTTTGAATGGAGAGAGTAATATTTAGTCCATAACGGTAAACGATCAAATATATGGCTTCAAGTAGGGCTGAGATTTTTATCTGAGATCCGGATTTGATCCAAGATTCGCTCCGGATCCGTTCCAAAATTAGGATATCCAGATCCAAATCCGGATAATAAAATCTCGGATCCGTGCAAACCAAATCTGGATCCGGATATCTTAATTTTTAGGTCCAGATATCTGGATTAAGATCCGTATTTTAAAAAATATATTAATTTTTCATTTTATTATTAATTATATCTGATATATTAATATTTATACATAAAATAAGTTTAATAATATTCTAGTTTTATATTAATAATATTATATGTCAGATATATATTCATAATTTATATTTAAATATTTATGTATTATTTTTAGAATTTTTTTTTTTTTTTAAATTTAAATTATTTTTGCGGATCTGAATCCAAATCTGGATACATGCGGATATTATAATATCTAGACGGATATCCGAAATCCGGATATCCGGAAGATACGAATCCGAATCCAAATATTAAAATCACGAATCTGACAAATCCGGATCTGGATACTTCAAATATCCCAGATATCGGGATCCGTCCCACCCTAGCTTAAGTCACATTATTAAAACTCAGTTCAAAAAAAAAAAGTCACATTATAAAAAGTCATATAATAAATCCTACCATGCATGGGAAATCAAAGAAAACGATAAAGACTTGCCCATACGTATATTCTTATCGATTTACAACCACAAAGGTCACGTAATCATCAATACAAATAAAATAATCACGTTTTGTGATAAGATTACAAACTAATTAATACAGCTATATTTTACCCAAAGAAAAAGAAGCTAATACAGCTATATGTTATACGTATGGAGCGAAATTTGGCGTGCGAGACCTAAAGGTATGGTCGTTAATTTTTCTAGGAAATTTTTCTAGTCGCTGTTATAACTTCGCCTTAGTTTATTGCCTCCTTCTTTAAATTTAATTTCTTATATTTTTAGTTTTTTTTTTTTTTTATAACACTGAATTGGTTTGATTTAAGAGTTCAACAAACAGATAAGGGAATAACTGAGAGAAAATGGGATGTCAATAACACCAAACAAAAATGAAATGGATCTCACCAAAAACCTCATTGCTGGGCCTCCAAAACGAGTAGATGATGAAGCCACACCGGAGCATTACGGGCGATGTACGATTGATGACGAAGGTCACGCGTGACGCTCAAGGCATATTTTTAGTTAATACACTCTGTTTTAATATAAACTAGATTTTGACCCGCGCTTGAAAAGAGCGGAAATTTTTATAATTAAAAATTTATATAATTGGGTTTTGTCTTAATTTAAAGAATATTTTGATATAAAATTAGTTCACCAAAATTTGCGGTGATGATTGTTTTTCATTAGTTTTTAGTTTCAGTTTTTATTTTTAGATTTTGGTTTTTGGTTTTTAGTTTTTAAGTTCTACTTTTCATTTTCGGTTTTTGGTTTGGGTTTTTAATTTTTAAACCCGCTGAGTTGGTTTGAACTAATATTACCAACAAACAAATCTCAAATAATCGAACATCTAATTTAAAACTGAAAAAGATGATAACAATTTTTTTTAAAAAAATTTGAAATAGTTTATTTTGTAAATAAACAAAACAAAAAATATAACATGTGTTTTCAGCTTTTGGTTTTGGATTTTGGTTTTTAGATTTGGTTTTTGGTTTTGCTTTACATTTTTTTAATTATTAATTTATTTAAGAAAAATAAAACAATAAATTATTTAAAAGTTACCATTGAAATTTATCAAAACAAAGTGATTGTTGTTTAAAATAAAAAATATATTAACATGTTTTAAAGTACATGATTTAAATAAATGATTAATAATAGATAATTTTGTTTTGTTAAAAATATTAAATATCTTTTGAGTCTGAAAATAATAATTGTTTTTTTGATCTTTTAAGGTGAAAAATTTATTCAATGTTTTGGAGTTTTTTTCTTAATACGAAGTCCAAAAACCAAACTATATAATTTGTTCAAAAAACAAAAGTAAGCCCAAGACTATATTCCATAAATAACCACTGGTTTAATTTAAGTATAATTAGTAGATTTCCATATTTAATATTTTGATGATATATATTCTTTTAGAACATTCCATATTTGTAGTAGAAAATATGTGTTTTCGGTATAAACATAGATACCTGTCATATTTTGAAGGTAGTTTACATTAAGGTCGTCTCTTTACATTTATTGTGTCGGTTTAATTTAAATAATACGGTTCAATCAATTATATGACTTATATTATTTGTAACATTCTATAAAGGGTCCAAATTTAAATGACAACTTGTATCAGTAGATAAAAAGAATGACTCTATTTTAATATAGTAGACTAGATTTTGACCCGCGCTTAAAAGCGCGGAAATTTTTTATGATTAACAATTTAGATAATTGGGGTTTTGTCTTAATTTAAATAATGTTTTGGTATAAAATCAGTTCACCAAAATTTGTGGTGATGATTGTTTTTCATTAGTTTTTAGTTTCAATTTTTATTTTTAGATTTTGATTTTTTGGGTTTTAATTGTTAAGTTTCTATTTTTGATTTCAGCTTTTGGTTTGAGTTTTTAATTTTTAGATCCGCTGAGTTAGTTTGAACTGATATTACCCAATTTTTTATAATTAAAAATTTATATAATTGGGGTTTTGCCTTAATTTAAAGAATGTTTTGGTATAAAATCAGTTCACCAAAATTTATGGTGATGATTGTTTTTCATTAGTTTTTAGTTTCAATTTTTATTTTTAGATTTTATTTTAGATTTTGATTTTTTGGGTTTAAATTTTTAAGTTTCTATTTTTGATTTCAGCTTTTGGTTTGAGTTTTTAATTTTTAGATCCGCTGAGTTAGTTTGAACTGATATTACCCAAATTTTTTATGATTAAAAATTTATATAATTGGGGTTTTGTCTTAATTTAAAGAATGTTTTGGTATAAAATCAGTGCACCAAAATTTGTGGTGATGATTGTTTTTCATTAAATTTTTAGTTTCAATTTTTATTTTTAGATTTTGTTTTAGATTTTGATTTTCTTGGGTTTTAATTTTTATGTTTCTATTTTTGATTGCAGCTTTTGGTTTGAGTTTTTAATTTTTAGATCCGCTGAGTTATTTTAACTGATATTACCAACAAACAAACCTCAATTAATCGAACATGTAATTTAAAACTGAAAAGATGACAAAATAATTTTCTAAAAATTTTGAAATAGTTTATTTTGTAATAAAAAGGCAAAAAAATATAATTCAAGCGCAGAAATTTTTTATGATTAAAAATTTATGTAATTGGGTTTTATCTTAATTTAAAGAATGTTTTGGGATAAAATCAGTTGACCAAAATTTGTGGTGATAGTTGTTTTTCATTAATTTTTAGTTTCAGTTTTATTTTTTATTTTTAGATTTTGTTTTAAATTTTGGTTTTTGGTTTTTAGTTTTTAAGTTTCTATTTTTGATTTTCAGCTTTTGGTTTGGGTTTTTAATTTTTAGACCTGCTAAGTTAGTTTGAACTGATATTACCAACAAACAAATCTCAATTAATCGAACATGTAATTTAAAACTGAAAAGATGACAAAATAATTTTTTTAAAATTTTGAAATAGTTTATTTTGTAATAAAAAAAGCAAAATATATAACCTGCGTTTTTCAGCTTTTGGTTTTGGATTTTAGTTTTTAGATTTGGTTTTTGGTTTTGCTTTACATTTTTTTTTAAGTCTGTAAATTATTTAAGAAAAATAAAACAATAAATTATTTAAAAGTTACCATTAAAATTTATCAAGATAGAGGGATTGTTGTTTAAAATAAAAAATA